GAAGGAATCATATAAGCTTTTTCAGTCAGCTTATTGTGGCACAATAACAGTATAGTTTATAGTTTAAACAGTGGTTAGATATGGTTTATAACCAAAACTATAATTTGCTTTACATATAGGACAATAAAAAATAGAAGAACTAACTACATGGCTAGTTGTACTGTTAAAGTGTGAATTTAAAGCAGCACTGTGTCTTTTCAGTCAGTGAATTCTGTTTGAAGTAATGCATAGTAAACCAGAAAATTTACTTTTATACACACATAAGAATATCACTTAGGGAATATCATCACTGTATCATGACCTTTGCTCCGGCTTTTGATAGTATACTCATATAAACAAAAAAAAAGATTAGCAAAATTAAGAAAAGAAAAAGCTGGAGACAATGCTAATTTATGCAGTCTGAGCAGTCCCTCTATTAAGACAGATAAAATTTCTGAGCAGTATTTATAAAAGAAATTAAGAAAAAGATTCAGGCACAGTATGGAAGATATTGACACAATATGTTTAAAATATGTAAAATTATAATAAATTAATATAATATTCTGATTACAGTACTACACATTTTGGCTTCGACAAAATGTTGAACCAGGATACAAATTAGCTGCATGCACTGTTCGGGAACAAAGCTTCCTATTACGTTACTGATTTGCTACATCTGCTATAGTTAGCAGTTTTCCAGCACAGAAGAGTAGAACCTACAAAAATTCTATCACCAAACACCCATTTCTCTCTCCCAAGCAGCAAATAAGCAGCAAATGGACTAAAAGCAAACAAGGAAAATGAATGTGTTAAATAAAAAAAGAACATTATATCACTATCTGAGCCTAAATGGTTTAACAGCATATAAAGAATCTGTGCAGACCCAGCTGTTAGAAAATGTACTTAAACATACCAAGAAAAGAAAATAATTTTATGAAACTACTGAAGTATGGCTTCTGAGTGGCTTCATTTGTATGTAGACCAAAACTAACTTAAAGTCAGCTGCTGGCTGATGATTTCTAGACCTGATAAAGAAGAAATCTCTCATCTACCAGAACTAAAAAGAGAAGATACTTATTATGTCATTTCCAGAAGGATGACAGCAGATTGATTAAGATGCGCAGTGCTAGCTGGTCCATTTCCAAACATTCACCTCTGAAGGTCTTTTTCCATTAATTAGGATATAATCTCTGCTTGGGCAATAAATCCTTTGAAGTCCTTTCATTAAGAAAACTTTGAAGGCTTTTTAAAACTGGAATAGAGCTCAGCAACTGGAACTGAGCAGTGAACTGACATCAGCGCTTATTCTAACAGCCCACAAGCTAAAAGCCATCATTTTAAATTTTGTCATGGCTCAGCACAGTAATGCAAATCTCCATGGACATGTCATGAAGCCACGTCCTCTGGAAAAAGTAAACAAAAGACTTACTAACATTACTGTCTCTTACACTGGTATTGAGGAAATCTAGTTCTGCATTTGACCTAAATGTTTAGTCTACTAGAACATTAGAGTAACCAGCAGAGAAGAAGCCCGACACAAAAATACATAAAAGTGAACAAAAAAAAATTTCTTCAAATAAGATTAGGATTTTTGAACACACCCACCAATACCTTATCTGTGGTCTCATGAGATCAAAGGGCATGTTAACTTGCTGCTCAAACTCACACTCAAAGCATGAACTTCTACATCATCCAGACTACTAGATGTTGTATCATGCTTTGGCTCAAGTTTTCTACAGGCAGTATTGACATAAGTAGATTTCCTTAAGGTTAAGGAAACCTCTCAGATTCTTTAAAAAAAGGGGGGGGGGCGGGAGGGGGAGAAAAAAAATCACATCCATTATTCTAAGAATACAAGCTCATGACCTCTGGAAAGTATTTGGAGGCTCAGGTCCCTACTACTGTATAAATTTATCAAGGATATTTTGAAGAAAATCTGATTTTCAGAGAAGCACAGTATACACTCTGTATGTCTAATGACTGTGAATAAAATCTTTGAAATACTTGATTACTGTTTTTACAGCTTTGTAATCATTTGAGAAAGAAGGAGCTCTCAAAAATCTCATGACCCAAGATGAATACTTGAAGTGGTATGTGCGAGGACAGAAAGCAACACTTTTATTTCGTCCCAGCTCGACCTAACAAGTCTCTATATTTTGGTTTATTTTACTAATGAAAATGCCTAGAGGAAAGCAAATAGCTTTTGGAAAGACTAAAGGATGCTTTTGAAATTTCAAAGCCATAAAAATGACATGGAACAATAAGGTCCTTGCTAAAGTAAGTGAGTTTCAAAACAATACGTAAAGTGTTGTAAAAGAAAAAAAACCTTTAGGCTTCTTAACTCTAAAAGATAAATTAGTTAGAAAATGTCCATGACTTTTAGATATTTTAGATATTATACTCAATCTGCCTGCAAGCTTGTCAAATCCAAACATTGATGTCAGTCCAAAGTCACTTCCAGGTACAATACTTTTGTAAAACAGTACAGCATGGCAGCACCTCCAAAATCTTCTATTTTACAGAGGCAATGGTGGAAAATTACATGCAAAGGTAACCAACCGGGGATTAAATGGATTTAGTTTCATTTGGTGCACGACTAGCTTACACATGTAACTTCCACTAATTACATGTTAAATCCTCTGGCACAGCAAGTTGAGCAGATTCACCCTCAAGACAGTAAGCAGAAGACATAACTACTGTACCATGAAAAATAAAATGGTCATAGGCATCACAGTACTAACTACTTGTGAAATATACATGGGGAGGGAAAAAAAAAAGGAAAGGCTACTGCAAAACACATTCAAATCCACTTCAGAATGATAAAGGGAAAACCCACAAGACTGGGCAAATTACCTAAGTTATACCTACGTATTTCAAAAAGAAGTACTTTACTGCAATATGCATGGATTAAATAATCAGTGAAGCCACAGCTAGCCCACAAGATGCTATCCACCACCTCTATATACGTTCATCTTTCTCCTGTATCCTCAGCTAATCTCAACTGGCACCTCCTGCTGCACATATGTTAACTTTACCTTGATGTACGTAACTGTGAATTTCTTCAGTTTGATATTTTGCTTTCTAGCTGTACTGTATTTGCCAAAAACAAAAAGTAGCCATAACCATGATTTATATGGTCCAGCAGATATACCCTCCAACACAAGGGGTATATCTTGGCAAAGTGGGACACAACAGTCCCTGTGCATCAGCTACTCCACTACAGTCCCTGCAGGCCCTCTGCCAATAAGATAACACTGAACAAACCAGTACTACCTTTTTATTAGGTTTAGTCAGCACTTCTAGCCCCGGGTCTGAAACCTACAACATTTTTCTCCACTTTCTAATTCTTCCAGCTCTCCAACTTCCTGCCAAGATTTTCAGATCAGTTGAAGCTATGGCACTTTTGTCTCCCCTCTAAAACCATCCTCTGCCCTCCCATTTTATGCTGGCATGAACAACAAAGAGTACCATCAGCACTTATACTGATACCACTTTACTTGTTTTTCTGTGTTGACACTTCTGAGTTATTTCCTTGGGAGTTTCTCCAACATTCAGAATTCTAGATTTGTATCCTCAAACATATAATACTCATCACAGTGGTGGCCTTCCATATTTATTTGTTACTGTATCCTTCTCTGATACCTCCTTCAAATTTGCTCTCTTAATCACCAATTCAACTGAATGTAAGTCCACTAACGACAAGCATCTACGCACAGGATTCTCACTTATGCTTTCTGAATGGAACGCCCTCTCCAAGGCTACAGAGACACTGCTCCACTCTCCTTCCAACACTCACTCTCTCCCCTCACATTCACCATGAGGTCTGTAACAAAGAACACAATGAAATAAACAGCCTGAAGGAGCTTGTGAGATATACTTTATTTGCTTATAAATTAAAAGGAAATCTTCACAGAATTCAGAACCTTCAATCTGCATATGTTAATCTAGATAAGAACATGTTGTTTTCACTGTTACTCACAATTTCCTTTTTATTTATTTATTTATAAACTTTTCCAATTCTTCTTTTTGAGCTTCAGTTGGAATAATAAAACAGTTATTACTAGGCCTCTGTCTCCATAATATGCACTCATATTACCAAGGATGACAAGAGGTCTAAATGAACCCTATAGGTAATATAATATCAAATTCAGCTAAATAAATATGTTGTGACTTTAAATAATCTTATTCACAATAAAATAAAATAAAATAAAATAAAATAAAGAATTGCATCTTCAAAACATTTAACATATTTGATAGAAAAATTTCCATGGCACATATTGTTATGGAAAAACTTATAAATATGTAACTGAACAGAACCATGGTATCATTAGAACAATGTAACCAGACAGGTTATAATGAAGCACAGATGTAAAGAAGAATGAACTGGCACAGCCAATCTATCAGAATGTTCACCTCTGTATACCTCTTGCTAAAATAAAAACAATATTTAAAAATTAAAAGAACCTTTGCATTTCCACCACAAAACCATGTTCTCTCTAACTGTCTGAATATGTTTAAAAGGTGATAATATTGTTATTACAATATTAAATACATACATGTCAGGTAAAAGAGCTAATACATGCAATACATTTTTTTTTTAATCATTCTCTAAATACTAGGTACGTTTTACATGAAATCTAAAACCACATTTATTAAAAGCCATCTGCCCTCTGCATTGTGGGAGCCCATGCAAGGCAGGAAAACATTGCTGGGGAAACTGAAAGGTCTGGTTAGGAAAGCCAACTCTTATGCAGCAGAGCAAAATCACTGTGAAAGGTGTTTCTACCCATACTGGAATTGTGTAATTTAATGCATTACTTACTACTGTTATTCAAATCTTCTCAGACACTGTCTGGTCATATTCAGTATTACTGTCCTGCAGACACTTACTTCAACATGCAGGGTAAATGCAGCTAATAAGCATAATTAGCTCAGACACTGTATTTAATTTAGTTTTGCACTAAAGACTAATTGCCTACTCAGCGAAGGGGAAGTGTAACATTTTTTTTTAAGATGCTTACCCGAGGGCCCTGATCACCTTGATCTCCCTGCAAAGTGGAAAGATGAGATGATAGGTTTAACACAGCATCTGTGTGCTACCCAGCTCTCTTACATAATCTAACATTACACTGTGTCAATATAAACTGTGTCTTTAGCTCATGCTGGGAGGGCTCTCCATTCACTTTGTAGGTGTCACCCGTACATCAACTCACCTTCTCGCCTTTTGGACCAGGAGGGCCCTGAAATAAACAAAAAAAAATAATTAAATTGATAAATTACTAATACTGATAAAGTCCTAGGATATTGCAAGAAACAGGTCTGAGCAAACCTGTGATTTCTTCATAACAGTACATTTCCTTACAGTTTTTCACTCCACATGCCAGGGGTATTCCAGAAACTGCTTCTTCACAGTATTAATAATAGGCACTGTGTGGTAATTCTTGAATAGTTCATTGACCCCATTGTCGAATGAGACTACTTAGAGAAGCAAAGCTATGCCTGAAATGGCCAAATTTTTATGGACTTCAGTTAGGGACAACAGTTTATCTCCTTTCAGATAATAAATGTTTTCCAAGATGGTAAAACTTTTTTTTTTTTTTTTTTGCAAGTGAAGCTAATAAATTCAGAGGCTTATAAATCTGCCATGTACTCTGGCACCCTTCTTAGCTTAGATTGCCAAAGAAAAATGGGTTAGGAATTGTAAAAGTAGTGTGTTCATTCCTATCTCTGGAAACACTGAGGTTGATGTTTAGACTCAAGTACACTGTTTTAGGTAAAATAAGCTCTTTTATGATAAATTTGTATAACATAATTTTGCAGAAATAAGAGTGACTGTTATTTACCATCAGAAAACCAAACAGTAAGGTGACAGTGCTGCAAAAGAGAGAGGTCCTTTACTATTCTCTTTTTATTGACAACTTTCTCAGAAAGCTACCAGCAGATTTCTAAAACACTTGTTCAGGTCAGTGAATAAAAATGCTGGCAGTCTGCAGAGAACTGGCTGGTTACACAGCGCAGACTCTACCTCCAGCTTTCTGAAAGATATGCAGGTGTTTCATTACAAAGGAACTGAGGTATATATGAGAACAGCTGGAACCAAAGAGAAGGAGCCATCCAAGCTAGCAGGGCCCACTGTTACAACAGGAAGCATGCATCTGTGTGCACGCATGTGTGTGTAGGGGAAACAACAAGAAAAGCTTGCCACCAGCAACACAATTAGAAATAAGAGTGCAACCTTGTTGAGCTGAGCACATTGAGACTGTTCAGAGTTTGCACTAGTAAAAATTCCTGTGGTACACATAAATGCAACTGGAAGGAAGGTAAGTCTGCTATGTATCAAAGATGTGAGCAACCACATGCAAGCGTTTGGGAATTCCTCACGTAGCCAATTTTCTGCTTATTTTTCAGGGCTTCTAAAATATGCCAGAGAAAAGCATCTGTTGCTAAATCTTTCAAGGAGTTAAAGCATATGCCTCTCCTTTCACAGTCTACCATCTCCTCTGTCTGCTGCAAAGGACATGGAAACAAGTCTGCTACTCGGCCTCCCCAGTCTCCTCTAAGAAGGACAGTGCTCACCATAAGCTAAGTGAAAACCATTTGCTCAATTAACTCTGCCCTCTGCCTCCTTTGTGCTGCCATGAAAGAACTAATGCTCTTGAAAAACAAACTAAACAAAAAAACCTTAACGAATGGCAGTGACCTTGCTGCACCTTTAAAGTTGTCTACATCTATTTTTTTCATACTTCATTCCTGATTGCCCCTTTCCAAAGCATAGGTTTATATACACGCAGGATAAACTACATACAGCATTTTCTGTTGTTAGTGACTGATTCCCTGTATACTTTGACATGACTCCACCACATTACAATGCAGCACATTTTCAGTAGGCCCACTTTAAAACATACACACACATGCCATCAAACTTGCAAGTTCTCAGGCAAACTCATACCAATTGTAACACAGCAACTACAGAACGGGAAGAACTAAAATCACTGAATGCTGGTTGTTACTGCTTTTTTAACACGAACATGGAAAATAAGCATATGCTGTGGCTATGTTCTGTCTTCCTTAATTACCATCCTATTTCTGGCTATGAATATCTTACTGACTGTGAAATGCAAACAACATACTCTGATCTGCTATAGTCAGAACCTTATTTCTTGGGTCTTAGACATGAAATTATGAATAACACGAAAGGACCAAGACTGCAGACAGACGTTGTCTTGGGGCTCTTGCTGTGATCATGGGAGACGTTACTGCCTTCATCCAGATCCTCAACACCATTCTTATGCCCAAGGACAGCCCTACTTCAGACATGCTTTGGCTCAGAACTTTTCTCAGAGGTGCCTTCCACAACTGTTGCAGCTGATGTAAGCAAAGACCAGACAAGCTGCCTGGACTGAGCTGGCTCACTGGAACTGAAACAAGTTAGCGTGTGCTCACACAGGTGGTTCAGTAAGCAGATCTGTGGCACTACTAAACCCTCTCCCTGGTACAACTGTTCATAGCATGCTCAGCTCTCCCCACCTACAGAGGTGGCCTCTGTGTGTCCCCTGCATATTTTCCTCTGTTACAGTTCTCTGACAGTACAATCCACACCAAATATGTTTTTTGATATGACTGAATTACATACTTCAATTATAGTTTGTTCTCCTTTCTTTGCGTAGAGTTTTCTGAAAATTATCCATCCACATCATATTTGGAAATTTATTTTTCACTCGTTCTTCCCTATTGGGCAAAACCAGTAATTATGACAGTTTGGTGTTTGCTCTCCCTGAGTCCTACAAACTATTGTTTCTATTAAGTCACTCTTTCAGGATACAAGATTTTCATACAAAGACTTCATCAATATATGACAACTCAATTGTACTAGGAGTTAGAAATAGCTTTTCAAAAGGCCACAAGAGCATTTCTTGTGTGAACATTTTCACAAGTCTCTGCACTTGTATTTGTAATGCTTTTGCTTTCCACTAAGAATCTTGAAAAACAAACAAACAATTCCAAACAAAAATAGCTCTCTTGGGTGCTAGTGAAGAGAAGCAGTGGGGTTTAACGGAGAGAATATTAATGCAATTCTTTCATGGCTTGTTCACCCGTTTCTGGCTTTTCCTCCGTTGTTTCAATTGTTTTCTACTGTTTTTGCAACTTTAAAAACAAAATTCCTATCCTCAGCCTTTGACATCTTCTTTCCATTTGTGCTGAGAAATTCTCCCAAGGTTTGACTGCAGCATTTATTAACGTCTGTACATTGAGTGAGGAAAGGGAGGAATAAAAATCTGAGTTAGGTTTGCAGGAGTGGAGTGTGAATTGGAGACTGATTTGTTTAAAGGAGGGCAAGGTTACTTCTGTTTAAGGGTACAGATACAAAAAACAGAGTGAGTAAAACAACACTTTGGCTTTGTAGGCCATAGCGTAGATATCCTGCTTTTTTCCCAAGGAGATTTCTGTGCTTTCGTTTGTAAGATGGCAGGGATCAAGCTGCTAGCTGCTGCACAAATGTGAAAGCATTTTGTGGAAGCTATATGAACTGGCTGAGGTCAGAGCATTTCTGAAATAACTTTACAGTGTTTTCACTGGAAACAAAGGCTCTTTTCTCAAAGTGTAATTATCTACTCCAGACCACTATACATTTCCAAAGAGAGTTTATAGCCTCTCGCACATAAGCAAGGCCTTGTAAATCACAAACACATGCAATATCTGCATTCATAATTAGGCTACAAATAATACTGTTTTTAAAACAAAGTCTTCTAAAGCAGACTGAAAGGCATCCAGGCACCTGCCAGCCAAAAACAAAGCTGAAATCAGGGTCAATTCCATGTTCAGAATTACTGGCAGGTGCCTTTTTTTCTCTTTTGGCTATCAAAATCCTATTTCCATTTTCTGATGAAATCCTTACATTATTATAAAGAGTTAGAGGAATAGTAGGGCAAGAGGATATAGTATTGGAAAACATGAAACAAATTCTTGTGATCTTCATTCAGGCAACATCTCCATTAACTAGCAATTTATCCAAGTACGATTGGCATGATTTTTCACACAATTTATAATTTACTATCTGAAAGGTGCCAATTTTTGATTTCCTCCCTTGCAGCCACTGCTACCTTTACAGTTTTGTGACAGTTATATTCAGAGGACCTCCTCAGAAGTAAATATTTGATTTATATTGTTTTTACAAATATTTTTGAATGTAAAGTGATCTTCATTTTCTTATGAACATATTCCCCACATATTCCTGTTGCTGTAAGTCTGCCTCGGTAATACAGCAAGTTGACTTACAAAAGAGACTCCAGTCACTGAGGGGAAAGTAGAACTGAGGATAGTAAGGGATACTCATGGAGGGATTCAATGAAACAGCAATGTTTCTAGGTTATATAGAAAGTTACAAAGTCAGTGCAGAGGAATCCAGATTTAAAGTTTTCAGTGACTCTCAGTTAACCCAAATGATGCCACTTCCAGCGCCCAGGGCACGGCAGCAAATATCAACCAAGTAGAATCAGCTAGACCATGAGAGTACCATGGCCCAGTGGGGTCCATCCACCTTTTGGGCTCTTAAGGAACCTGAGTGTCAAATCAAGCAGCCCAGACGAGACAGCTGCCACAGAAGACACAGGCACCACTTTGCTAAACTTCAACTAGAACAGCTATAGCTGTGGGCTAAAGCATCCTGGCAGTTAGAGGACTGAATGCAGCTTGCAAGATGCAGGCTTTGTTTTCATTTAGGATAAAACAGCATACAATATGTTCACCCCATAAGCAGTTACTGCATCCACAATAAGTGTGCAACTGACAGCACAAGGGAATAGCGGCCTTATGGAAAGGAGGAGAAAAGTAAACCACATACAATCCATCTAGGCAGATTTGAAAAGGAAACCAATTTGCCAACAGGATTCAATCATATTTTCACAATTAAATTACATGCAATACATTGCTTACATTAATTTAATTCCTGAGGCTTATTTTGTGGTTTCAGCTTGTAACAACACACTCTTCAGTTATGAGTCAAACTTTCTCTTCTTTCGCAGTTTGGCTCACAGCTTTCCCCTATACCAACTTATAAGTTCCTGACTCTGGAACTACCTTTACCTTGTACCCAGGCTAACCTCTAGCTCTTGCAAAATATAAGCATCAGATAAGCTGAATTATAAGACATGAAGTTACAAGAGTATTAAGAATCACAGCACCATTTCAAATCTCCTACGCTCATTTTAGTCTTGTGCCCACTCTGCATGCCCTGAACTAC